ACCCTAAAACATATGAGGTAGACCCATCGGCTAAAGTAACTGTGGAACATTGGGTATGTGACTGAAAAGTGGAAAAGAGTTTAGAGTTACCTGTCATATGATCTGTGGCACCAGAATCAATGACCCATTTGGATGACGAAGAGAGGAGACACTTAGTGGTTTTACCTGACTCGGGGATAGTATTGATAGGAGGAGATGATGACTGAGATGGAGAAATAGTCTCGGAAGTGGCGATGTTGGCATACTGAGATTTTTTGTTCTTATTCTGAAGCTTCACACAATAACGTATGGTATGACCGAGCTCACGACAATAAAAACATTCAACTTCCCCTTGCTTTAGGTCTCGGCTATCGCTACTCCGATTACGATTACTATGACTCCTATTCTTTTGGACGCGGCTAAGCAGAGCACCACTATCGATCGTGGCTGTCGGACCTGGATGAGACTTTTCAGTACGCAACACTCTTGTAAAGGCCTCTTTCAAGGAAGAGATAGCAGTCCCAGATAAAATCTGCGATTTGGCCCCTTCANATAACTTGTATGTCAACACTAGCGAAGATGGAAATAGAGAGGACTAAGATCACCTCATGTAGTGAGCTAGTGTTGCTTGTGCAAGGAGTATCCTGAAAAACAACCACCTCCTATTAGTATTGCAGCTTCACATCGCAGATACGGACGTTTGTTAAGTGTTTCTTAGAGGTTACAGAAAATTGGTAGCTTGGAGACAACAATATTACATCTCGTTTGACTCATTTTGAATGAAAAAAATAGCAACTTGTTCCAGAATATTGAAATTGACGCAAATATAAATAGATTAACGTTGTTCATCTATACTTTTGGTGTAAGGAGATGTAGAAGTATAAAGGATGTCACGCACCGTATTGGGGTGAGGTGGATGAAATGGCGGTTAGCATCTGGAGTCCTGTGTGACAAGAGGGTACCACCGAAACTCAAAGGTAAGTTCTACAGAGTGGTGGTTAGGCCGGCTATGTTATATGGGGTTGAGTGTTGGCCAATTAAGAATTCACATATCCAGAAGATGAAAGTAGCCGAGATGAGGATGTTGAGATGGATGTGCGGGNGCAGTGAACAGTGAACAATACAGCGAACAGTGCCGGAACAGTGATCTTGGAAAATGAAAGTTGTCAGGAAAAAAAAAATTCTGACAGTNAAAGGTGGGCGTTGCTACCGTGGACGACAAAATGCAGGAAGCGGGGCTTAGGTGGTTTGGACACGTGCGGAGGAGAACCATAGATTCCCCAGTTAGGAGGTGCGAGCGGTTGGCTTTGGTAGGTACGAGAAGAGGTAGAGGGCGGCATAAGAAGAATTGGGGCGAGGTGATCGGGCAGGACATGGCGCGACTCCAGATTTCCGAGGACATGGCTCTTGATAGGAACGTGTGGAGGTCGAGCATTAGGGTTGTAGGCTAGGGGTAGTTCATAGTTTTTCCCTCTTTGTACCGGGTAGTCTGACAGAGTTTTACCTATGTCTGGTAGCGGTCTATGTTGTGTTCACACTATTTTGTTGTTTTGCATATGATTGTATTATTGCACTCCCTTTCACTTATTTGGTGTATTTTAAGATATTATTATTACTTCTCTTGCTTCTTTAGTTGTTACAGATCTCTTCTTTCGTTTCTTTTCTGAAATTATTATCTTTTCTGTTGAGCCGAGGGTCTCCCGGAAACAGCCTCTCTACCCTTCCGGGGTAGGGGTAAGGTCTGCGTACATCCTACCCTCCCCAGACCCCATAGTGGGATTTTACTGGGTATGTTATGTTATGTTATGTTATGTTATGTTATGACACGCTTTTGGTGTAAAGAAAGAATCCCCTTTGTATAGATAGTTAGACTAACTCTATAGATGACTGGTTGAGCCATATACCCAACTTTTACATACTTCTGAAACTGGCATGGGTGTTATCGATAAAGATTTTAATTGAAAGAACAAAAAAGCAATGAATTTCATCTTACTTGAAGCCAATCAGCGACTGCTGTCACATTGGGCAGAGTTGCACTCATGCCAACAATTTGGAGTCTGCCAGCAGGGTCAGCTTTTCCACTGCTACTACCTGAACTTTCTCCACTGGATGACTCAGTATTTCCTTCACCAGATGCATAGCGAAGCTTGGTCAACATCAACTCCAATAGATAACCCCTATTCTGGTCTCCAACCTAACATGAAAGCAGCTCAATAGACCAAGACAATTAGAATTCAATAAATACATATAACTATGAGTTCCAGCAAAGACGCCAAAACAGCAGCTTCGAGCAAATAGAACGTAAACTTAAAATGATAGGAGGGTTTAGCTGGATATCATTAAAATAAAATAAAACAATAACAGAAAAGAATGTTAAAGTCAATACCATGTGGAGTTCATCAATCACTATGATACCAAGCTCCGACAGACGACCCTCTTCTAGCAGTCGGTTAATTAAGGAATTTGCCTTCTCAATAGTGCAGACAGCTATAGCGGTATCCTTTGGAAGACTACCACCTCCCTGATTACCATAATAACTGCGAACATGCTTCCCAACTGGTTCCAAAAGGACCTCAAGATGTTCTGCCTGAACAAGTTTAACATGACATGATACGAATTAAATATACTATATATCCTTATATGTATAATAAAGACCACTTTGAAAGCTAAAAGATAACTTCACCTTCTCTGCACAAATGGATACATATGGAAGTACAAGAAGACCCATTTTTCCGGATGATAAAATTCTACGTAACATCAATATCTCAGCAACAAAACTTTTACCAGCACTACAGAAAATAAAGAATCCTGGTTAAACAGCAGAGAGGCGCTCTGAAATTCGTTACATAAAAGTATCACTGAGAGAACAGAAAGCAAAAAAAAAAAAAACAATATTTCCAGAACAGAATTTCTACTTGTAATGGCTTCCCGAAGTTCAATACCCAAAGGGCAAAAGAGATCGTAAAGGACCTGATCAAATAAGCAAGATGTGAAGGAAAATGTGCATGTTAATAGCTTATACAGTTATACTAATATATTCAGTTGGCAAATTTTCAAGGACCACCTCAATTGAGCAAGACTGGAGAAACGCTCCTATGGAAATTACCACACATAGTTTAGAGGAACTCTAGGATAAGAGGAGGAAACAACTCATTAAGTGAAATTCCAATACTGTATGTAAAGCCCTCAACTTAGCTGCAAAAAAGTATACAAGGACAACAAGGATAATACTTCAGCCGTACCAGATAAAAGAATCTTGCAAATCAAAACCTCAAAGCCAGTTCAGCACAAAGTTCAAGTTTTATTGTCTGTTGGTTGCAAGTTCATTTAAAGCAGGTTATAACCAATTAAGAGATATAAGATCAATATCTGGTGCGAATTTGTCTAACATACAGGTTTGTTACTAGCTAAAGCCTAAACCGCAAAAAGGGGACAGCATTATGCCAGCTCCTTTGCCACAAGATAAGTGTCAGAAATAGGATCTGGACTAAGTAGTCAAAATATAGTAAGAGGATTTTTATTCCTCAAGTCTTTATATGTCAAAAATTTTAGTTGATGTTGGGGCATCTAGCAAGCTACCTGGCAACCAGAAGTTGCAAAAAATTTCTGTTTAGTTTTCTATATGACCAGAACACTATGCTTACGGCAGAAAAAGTACAAAAGAAGCGACCAAGTAAATGAATTTTGGTGGCCGAAAGACAAAGGACAGGATCCGAATCAGCTTATATTGGACAAGGTTACATACTATCTGTGAGCTTATCATTCTTTGTGATAGGCATATGCATTGTGATGCCTATAGCAATTATGCTTGTGAAGTCTTTTGTTTTTTATTTAGAGGAAACTCAAGCTCTCTCTGTCTCTCTAACTCTCTCTAGTTTGTTGTGTGGAGGTATGCCACCTCAAATAAAATTCTATGCCTATTTTAGCTACCATAACAAAATTTTCTGGACTCTTCAAAGAGAGGGGTTTCAGCTAACTACAGTCTCATGACTAATGAAGCAAATGTTTGGTTCAAGTTAAATTTCAAATTAACTTTTTGCCCAATATGGTACACCAATTCTTTAAATGTGCCAAAAATGAGAATAAACCTTACGGAAAGGCACTTTTCACCTCAACATATTGCAAGAAAGAAACCATAACTATCAGACACCACACTCAAAGAACAGGCTAACAACAACCTCATTGCTGCACTGAAGCTTTAAACCTTTAACAGTCACTCTGACAAATTAATCATAAAAGAATAACATATCAACACTGCACCCAAAGGACTACAACTAACAACCACAGCTTCCTGTTTCAGTTTGCCAGTAGCGTACATAAATATGAGGAACAAAATTTTGGGGAATTTGATTATTGATCTCTTAAGTACCATTTTTATGATACAACAAGCAGAAAAATAACTATAGTTCCAACTGAATGGTAGATATCTATAATTATAGTTCCAACTGAATGGTAGATATCTCATGCAAGAATGATATATCAACAACTCACAGTTACAAAGCGATTGCTACAAACAAGGACACAAGTTCTTTAAGCTGCAATTACTAATAGCATGTACTGTAATTATGTGAAAAGTTTTGCAGCATCCCTACACCTTTGCTGAAAGTACAAGATGCAGGATTGGACAATTAGGAGATAAGAGCATTCTCCAATAAGAGACAACAGAATAATCGTTATGATAGAGACAATCATAGTGATAACACTAGTAGAGCAAATATACAGCATTAGAAACACAACCAGCAACAAAGATAATAAGAAAGAGGGTCGTAATAGTTTGTTAGTAGATTGGGTTAAGTAAGAAATGTTCAAGTTCCTGAAAAAGGTGCACAGATATCCTGAGCAGCAAGCAATATGTAATGACTTGGACAAACTTAAATGATCCAAGAGTGCAAAAAAGTTCTGAGCAGCAAGCAAAATGTAAAATGACTTGGACCAACTTAAATCATCCAAGAGCAAGTATTGACCTCATAAAGATTCTTTAGTTTTTATGAAGAATAAAATGAAATGGACATTTTTGACATTTTTCTACCAGCACTTGCTGTCGCCATGAATGATAACGTTACTAGGTAAAATGGATAATAGCAAAAGTTCATTCGCAAATTCCCAGTAGGCAAAATCAAACAAATGTACTACTAAATTAAGATCCGTAACAGAAATACTGTGGACTAGTACTTCGTTTGATGGATATCTTACCCAATCTTGAAGACACTAATACAGCTCAACCCAGGCTTACACTAGTAACAGATACTCCAAATTCCACAAGTTCGAAAACTTAAAAAGCGTTCAGCATCAAGCAGCATTAGCATAAGAATGTTTTGCTACTTATAATGACTAACATATACTGGTATAGGGTATGGATATATTTCTTCACTGTGTATTTTCTTATTCTAGCATTGATAAACTATCATATTCAAGTCACTTGCAAATTAAAGATTAACGGAAAACATCTACAACACAAAGACCAAATTACAGTCCGCTATAGACCTGGTAGAAGCACAATATACAAGATTCCGGTTCTGCAAAACTCCATCCACTTGAAGACAATCAACCTGCAGGATGCAGAATGAATGTCCATTAGACTGTCACTATAAAGAACAACTTGTTCATACTTCAACTGACAACAAATCTGACCCCTTTTAGAAGCCTCAACATCTAAAGCATTGAATACCCTCGAACAGTATTCATCACAGAAAGTAGTAGACAATGGGGATTGGGGAGTAAGTAAGCCAGAACCAAGCTTCTATGAACCAAGCAAAATGAGAACTATAGAGAACCAGATGCTAGTCTAACACAAGAAAATTGTAAGAGGGCATAGGCAGAAATACATTTGGCTGAGGATGAGTAATTGCATCACCCCCACCCCAATTTAGTGTTGCCAAAGGTGAGAACTGTAGAAAAGCACCCAAGGTTTATTGGAGCTTTAAATGTATGGAGCATTAAAGTGCACGTTTTGGTGAATAAATGCATGCATGAACTTAAATAAAAATATATAGATATATATGTAATGCAATAAAAAAAAACATATCAACTATATGGACAGCGAAAATTGATAAAACTGTAATTAAGTAAAAGATATGAAATAAAAATCATGGCATGTAAGCTCGAAAACCATTTATTCATCCATAATATTCATTGCGCGATCCAAACTCATTGTTTGCCATCGCCTTGTCAAAACAGTCCCTGGACGATGCATATATCTTAGCATCTCGGTGCCTGCAGTGAAGCGCCACTTAAGCGAGTGAAGTGTCAATCCTCTCTTGAGTGTGTAGTTTGTAATCTCTTTATATGGTCTTAGAAAATCCTCACTACTTGAACTAGCTTTTGGGTTGAGTTAGACTCAATTATATTGCTGATATACGTTAAGTGTTTTATAATAGCCATATTTATATACAATGTTTACATATACTTAAAGCCCCTGTTTTTACCCAAAAACATCAAATCCCAAAGACATCGTTGGATTGAAGAGAGGTCTTGCATATTATCACCAAATAACAGAAAGAATCAACTGTAGCTCGTTGAAACAGATGAAGGAAACATTGTAGTTGCCCGAAAGATAATTGTAGCTGCCGGAAAATTAGTGTAGATTATTGTAGCTGCCGGAAAATTAGTGTAGTCGCCAAAATAATCTCAATGTGCTCGAAATAAAAAGAAAACAGTATGGGCAGGGCTGGAATCACTAGACGAGACAATTGTCCTGAAGAAGTTTTTTCAAAAAATGGCCGGAACAAGCGTCACGCACCGGCGCGTGGGTCTGACATGCTGTCGGCTTCAAAGCTTCTTCAGGAGCGCGAGGGCACAAGGCTAGGTTTTTGCCGGTGTGGTTTTCTGGAGTTTGGTCGCCCCAGAATTCCGCACATGCTGGTGGTGTCACTTTTCGTAAAAAAACCACCGAATAAGAGGTGATACAAAAACAGCCTGAAATTCACCAGAAAAAAGGCATGGTGAATGTCCCGGACTCGCTGGTTACTACACAGCGAGGATTTATCACTAGTTGCTCTAATACCATGTGATAAAGCATGAGAAAAATTATATTAGTGATGTACGTTAAGTGTTTTACAATAGCCCTATTTATATACAATGTTTATATATACCTAAGGCCTTCTATACCAATGTGGGATACTGAGAATTTTTTTTTTTTTTTAAATGGCATTATATGACTAACTATCTATAACAGTATTATAGTTATTTACTTTACCAACAATAAAGAGTTACAACTTATGATACCTTCAATTAGCCTAGAATCATTATAACTCGACCCCCTAATATTTTAGATATGCAATATATCAGTTGCATACTTCCTAAAGTAGAACTATGTAATCACAATGATACCTATTGATTAATATCATATTTGCATTCTCAAACATATCAGAAGAATTCTATTGAACTAACTATGTAACAGTGAGCAAATGGATAGGGCAAGCCAAGAACCTACTTCAGCAACCAAAATGGTATGTGAACATTTGGTCTCACAAGTAATAACTTACGGTCTGGGTCCAAAACTATTAGAAACAGTGCTAATACGTAGGATCTGGCCACCTAGATCATCAAAGTTAGAACTGACAAACTGATCGGTGAATAATCCTACTTTAGACCCAGAAATCTGGTAGAAATTCTAATGGAGCAATTAGGAAAAGAAATACTGACCTAAAATCTGTATAGCTAATGAACAACAACAGATTGATTCTTAAGTATTTAATACTAAATTTACACAGGATACTTAAAAAAAATTCTAGTACTAGAGCCCGTTTTGGGTTAGCTGAATTTAAGTAGCTTTTAAGCATCAAATGCTCAAAATCACTTTTTTAAGTGCTAGAGCTGAATTTATAAATAAGCAGCTACGTGTCTGCACGGAAGGGCTGAAGTTGAAAATTTGCAGTTGATATGTTTGATAGAATAGTGTTGAAACTGTTAAAATGACTGAAATGCCCTTAAAGCTATTAACACTAAAACTGACTTATCTTGCCACATATTTTATTCTAAAATAATTCAAATGCAAATTAGCTTGTGCATTTATTTTAATTATAAATTATAAATTAATTAGATCAAATTATTTTAATAAATGTAAACTAGTTATTTGAATAAAATAGAATAGTAATAACTAATATTTGACCAAAGCAGAGGCCACGGTTCCATCGGAAAACTGCATAGAAGGGAGATAATATTGGCTAATGACAACATGAAACCTGTTGAACAAAATAATATGGATCATGAAGTGGCAACTACCTATTTTTACACTGCACAGTGGCAAGGCAACTTCAGAGCTTGCTTTTTACCTGTTTGAATTGTCTTTTCTTATGCCTAACACCATACAGGAACTGATGACATGTTGAGGCAATCGCCAATCGGCACATGAAAGCCACTAGCTTTGGGGAATATGATGCCAGCTTGCGTATGTTGGGTGTTGTGGGGTGAAAGGCATTCCAGGTGCTTCAATGGGAAGTAAGTCACTTTACATATGCTAAAATACAAATGTCTATGGATTTTGCTTTTCGGTGAAACATACAAGATGTAAAGGATGACGCCAGCATGTTATAATCTACTAGTTATTTACAAGTCTAGTGTTTAGAACAGTTGGGAGCCTCTCTTTTTGTTTTATAAAAGGGGTTCCCTGATTATGTACACACACTTGCAAGCACTTTCTTAGTGCTCTGCTTATCTTAATAATACACTTACTTACCTTTTCAAAAAATAATATGAACCATGAAGTGATAGTCAAATCTTTTTCTCTTGAACTATCTGATCAAGCTATTTAAAAGGGAAATTGTTTTTCTTTTTAAATTATGTTAAAACCACCTCATAGTGCAAGTTTGAAAGGGTTTTTATGTCCCATTGGAAAGGGAAAAAATAAAAAATTTAAACGGAATTCTCCGAACTAGTGAAACTTTAGATTCTTTAACCAACTTTTCAATCTCGTCATGGGTATGACTGGGCAGGACTTTTACTGATTTGAGGGATGGAGCAGCGTATGCAATGCAACATAGTATTGAAGAAGGAAAAAACAAAATGTGTTAGGGTTTTTAGAGAGGGGAGGGTAATTTGGGGATTATAAAAGAATATAGGGGATAGTAAGGTAAATTATTGGGCCAAACCTAACTAGCTTTTAAGCTAAAAAGCCAAAAGTTGAGGGTGACCAACTTATAACTTTTGTGCTGTTTTGGCTTAAAGCACTTGGCTTTTTAGCATTTTAGGTGTTTGCCAAACGCCAAAACAAACCAAAAAGTGATTTTAAGCTGGTTTGACCGGCCTTTAATCCAATCCAAATACCCTCCTATCTGGAGCACCTAAAATACAGTTATCTACTCTTTGTTCCCTCCTGATTGTACAAACGAAGATTCATTGCATAATCGATGCAAATGGTAAACTAGTCAATAATTCCAGGTCTATGAAATATAAAGCTTCTTAAGACTCAAAATCTCAATAAAAGATTCAGCTAAAGGTAAACAGCATACCTGCCATGAGTACAATTTCGAAATACCCTTTTTCCTGTAAATGCTGCATATTTCAGAAGGTAGCCAATGGTTGAGATCCAAATGATTCTTTCTTGGTGCAATACTTGAAGGAGTGTTGTCATTACTTGATAAGGAATTAGCTGCACAATTGTTAAGTTTCTCTGAAGGTGTCGTTGATGCCATTATATCGGTATCCTGGATAAGCACATCCTTGTTACCCTTGGAAACAGGACATGCTGGAGTCATGTCTTGTATTTCAAGGATATTTCCTATTGCTTGAGCTGCTTTGTGAGGGCTGAGAACAGGAGAGCTACTTAAACTTACATTTTCTTGGGACCCAGTTTTTTTGCCACTAATAATCTGGATGTCTGTGTTATTTCCGAGAGATTGTACAACATCGAAATTTTTTTCGTCAGAAGCAAAATCAAAATGCTTAACAGGCATCGGGGACTTCTCTCCGTCCAGATCCTTCCCCAACTTCCTCAGTGAACCAACAGCAGAAACAACGCAGGCATCAGAAACTGTCTCTATACATTCATTAAATAGTTTATTGGACTTATTGCCACACTCTCCATCTCCAAGACTATTGGAATTGATTATCTCGTTATGAGTCTTCAAAGCCTCGGACTCTTGTGCTGCTTGAAAAGAAAATTTATCATTTCCAGCAAACAAACCATCAGCAACCTGAATTGCTTCATTCCAAAATGTTTCTCCGGGTGAAAATATGGAGCTACCACGACTTGACTTGGGAGTATCATCAACATGAAGCTTTGTAAATGTTGAACCAGGTGTCTCAGATTCAGTTGACCCAATGACATGCACATTGTTACATTTTCTCAAGCTTATATGAGCTCCGACTAATGTATTCCCCTCTGTTACCTAGCATAAGATGCAAATACTCAGCAGTTAACAAAAATTCTGTGAATCAACATTGTGGTATTGTGAAAAAATATAATACCTACCTCAATAGAAAAATTGGTTTTTCCGTTGATATTAGACTCGTTTTCACTCGAGATGCAGCGGATTCTCTTTGTAGTTTTATTACCCACATCAAGAATGGAAGGGCTACCACTCCTTTTACTAGCACCCTCGTTCTGCGCTGAAGGTAAACTTAAACTAGATGGCAGCTCACTGAATACAGGAAAACACAAAAAAAATTACTAAGCAAAAGAATACTTAAACTAGATGGCAGCTCACTGAATACAGGAAAACACAAAAAAAATTACTAAGCAAAAGAATACTTAAACTAGATGGCAGCTCACTGAATACAGGAAAACACAAAAAATTACTAAGCAAAAGAATACTTAAACTAGATGGCAGCTCACTGAATACAGGAAAACACAAAAAATTACTAAGCAAAAGAATACGCTGAGAAATCCAGCTTAGTGACCACAATAGCCTCAAAACCAATCACCACAAGCAAATCAAGAACAAAAGGCATTACCTGCAATATAACGACAAGAAGTTGGTAGCAAATTGCTTAAGTTCTGAGTTTCCAGCACCCTGTGTAGTAACCGAGACATCTTCTCCATGACCTCTAGTTGCAACAACATGTGAGTCAGGGGAAATAACAGGCTTCTCCTTTGAAGTTTTTGTTTCAGAAATTGTCGAACGTGCTTTGACCAAAGAAGTACTCCCTTTATTTTCATCTTTTAGGTATGGACCGATCTCTAACGTCAGATTTCTCTTAACCGGTGTGCCTCTAGCTGTGCGCAAAGGTTTACTATCATCATCCTGAGAAGTCACTAAATATCCATCCAATGAGCCTTTTGTGCTAGGAGACCCTTCAAGTGAGATCTTAACATCTTTCTTGGCTCTTGCGGGTTTCAGACTCGGTGACAAAGACTTCCTCTTCTTTTTTGAAGCAAAGAACTAAAAGTAACAATAGTCAACACAACAACAAATACCACTATTAGCCAACTATTAGAAAAGAAAAAAAATATCCAAAATCATTAAAGCATGATAGTACAGGAAAGGAGAAAAAAGGGAAGATAAGTGCCCCCATCATGAGGAAATGATGCATGATAGATATTTTAAGCAAAACTATTACAATTGCTCAATCAGGAGAAAATAAAAGCAAAAGATATCCAAAAAATACCCCTTATGAGAAAATTGATGAAAGACTAGACATACAATTAGAATTTTCCTGTAGCTGCTTAATTGGCAATAATATACAAGTTTCGACCTTCTTTTCTCTATAATATAGAGCAAAAACGACACAACTGGATGTATCCTAAATTCGAATCAATGGCATTGTGGGTTCCTAAATCATAAGAACAACAACAATAACAACAACATACCCAATATTATACCACACTGTGGGGTCTGGGGAGGGTAGTGTGTACGCAGACCTTACCCCTACCTTGTGAGGATAGAGAGGTTGTTTCCAATAAACCCTCGGCTCAGGAAAGCGTAAGCACCACATTAATGAAAATATAGACAAGAAGAGACAATACCAAAAAGCCATACAAAAGCAGAATAAAAACAACAAGACAGTAAGGTGATCAACAATGAAAGAAAACAACGGTTAGTCATAAAAACTTACTACCAACAGAAAGCGAGACTGTGTGCCAATACTATTGTTATGAACACTCTAGACTATCTACTCTACTACCCTAATCCTCAACCTCCATACTTTCATATCAAGGGTCATGTCCTCGGTCAGCTGAAGCTGCGCCATGTCTTGCCTAATCACCTCTCCCCACCTCTTCTTTGGCCTACATCTACCTCTCCGTAGGTCTTCCAATGTCAACCTCTCACGCCCCCTCACCGGGGCGTCTGTGCTCCTCCTCCTCACATGACCAAACCACCTAAGTCATGCTTCCCCCATCTTGTCCTCAATAGGGGCCACACCCAACTTGTCGCGAATAACCTCATTTCTGATCCTATCTAACCTGGTGTGCCCGCACATCCATCTCAACATCCTCATCTCTGCTACTTTCATCTTCTGTACATGAGCGATCTTGAATGGCCAACACTCAGCCCCATACAACATCGTTGATCTAACCACCACTCTGTAGAACTTACCTTTAAATTTCGGTGGCACTTTCTTGTCACATAAAACACCGAAAGTGAGTCTCCGTTTCATCCATCCCGCCCCAATACGATGTGTGACTTCTTCATCAATCTCCCCATCCCCCTGAATAATAGACCCAAGGTACTTAAAACTCCGTCTCTTAGGGATGACCTGCGAGTCCAGCCTCACCACCCCTTCCCCTCCTTGAGTCTTGTTACTGAACTTACACTCCAAGTATTCTGTTTTAGTCCTGCTCAACTTGAAACCTTTAGATTCCAGAGTCTGCCTCCATACCTCTAATTGCGCGTTCATACCGTCTCGCGTATCGTCAATCAATACAATATCATATGCAAATAGCATGCACCACGACACCTCCCCTTGGATGTGGCACGTTAGTACGTCCATCACCAGAGCAAACAAAAATGGGCTGAGTGTCGACCCCTGATGCAACCCCATCATAAGAACACCGGAACAATATAAGAAACTAACGGGGATGATAGGCCACCCATATAAGGTAAAATGGCTTTTCCGGGCAAATTTATGGAGTAACTTAAGTATTTTCCCATTAGCTTATTAGATGTGGTGAGAGTATCACAGGGTGTGAGTTCGTTCAACTATTTTTCCCTTCCCCGATCCTATGTAATGAAAATGAAAAGCTTATTAGATGTGGAGGAATTCCTAGGGACCCGCATCCGATGCCCAAAGCATTAAATGGACCATATATGCAGTATGGTGAACATCAATCGCAGTCCTCTTTTTCTCTTTTTCTTTTTCTTTTTCTCCCTTCAAAATTCCATTCTTATATAGACAGGAATAACCAACAAACTATTCTTGCAATTTCAATTTCTCTATACCTATTCTCCCTAGACAACTACAACAAAGCATGATAATGAAGGAAAAGAGAAATAAAGGAAGATAAAATTGCCCCCATCATGTTGAAGTGATGCAAGATAGATTTTTTTATGCAAATCCACTACAACTGCTCAATCGGGAACCATATTGTTCTAAACTAAGCAATAGCTTTTACGGGGACATTTCAAGTGAAATTTCAGCATCTTCCTTGACTCGTCTGAATTTCAAACTCAGAAATAGACAGTCAACACGTCATTATGAGAAAATGAAAGCAAAAATATTCAAGAAACCCAAAGAACAACTAAAAAGGCAAGAAAAAATCGCCACATCGTGTGAAAATTGATGCAAGACAAGATATTCAGTAAGAAATTTCCTATAGCTGTTTAATCGGCAATAATATACAAGTTAAAAAACAGCACAATTATATGTTATTTAATTTCGAATCAATAGCACTTTGGGGTTCCTATAATCATTAAAAAAGTGGAACAATGGAAAAAAACTAGGGTTTTTAAGGAGGAGAAACGGTGAGCGAAAAGGTACTAACTTGATCAATGCGTGCACGAGGGGTATCAGAATCCATCAGAAGAAGAAACCCGATAGCAGATTTGGTGAATGGGCTCAGAAAATTGTCTTCGCGTTCATGGGATTTTGAAATCGGAATTTATTGTTGTGGCAATGGAGCAGTGTCAAGAAGCCATTTGAATCTTTCAAGACCGCGCAGTAGAAAAGTTTTGAGAAAGGGAAGGAAGTATTTGATGTTCAAATGTTGAGAATTGTTTTGCAATTATGCCCTTGTATTACAGAACATTTCGAATTTTATGCCCTCAAAATTGCAGCAATTATATATTTTGTCTCTCTCAAACCAATGTTTTTCCCTTGGAAACTAGTTGAAGGAATAGAAAGGAAGAAAAACTATAAAGGGAAAAGGCTAAATTTGTCCTTCTACTTTAGTTAATTAGTCACGTACATGCCTATTTCTACTATTGGTCCAGATATGTCCCTACCGTTAATATAGTAAATAAAACTATCCCTAATCCTAACAGAGGTCCACCGTGGCATCGGGTACCTTCTATTAAACTACCAACTAGACAAATTTAAACTTAATTTTAAAAGACCCGCCCCGATTAGGCATAAACGTGACTAATTAACTAAAGTAGAGGGACAAATTTGGACTTTTTTCCAACTATAAAATCTTTGTCTCCCTATCTAGTTGCTTAGATGGGTAAGAGAATGAGTCTACTTAGAGCCCGTTTGGATGGTCTTATTTTAAGTAGCTTTTAAGACATAAGTTAGGATTTTTAGCTTTTGATTTTTGGCTTGTTTTTGTCGTTTTAGTTTAAAGACAAGTGCTTAAAAGTACTTTTTTACTTTATCCAAACACTATAAAATGGCTTAAAAGCTATTTTGGCTTATAGCCTGTTTGGCCAAGCTTCTCAAGAGGTCAAAAGTGTTTTTTTCTCAAAAGCACTTTTTTTCCCTAACTTGAGGTTTTGGGGGAAAAAGTGTTTTTGGTAAGAAGCACAAGTAGTTTCTGAGAAGCAGAAAAAAACAGCTTCTTCCCAAAAGCAGAAGCAGAAGCAATTTTGACTTTTCTTCTTACCTAAAATACCCTTAACAAAATATAGTATATACCAAAATAACCGTTAAACCTAATACTTAGGATATTAATATATAAGTATTTCTTCTTATTTTTATGGTAACATTCTAATATATAGTGACTTTAGGCGCTTTTGGGAGGGGTTGGATGACATCGTTCGTAGTTTTCCGCCTTTCAAGAGGTTATTCATAGGAGGAGATTTCAATAGTCATATTGGGTCGTTTGCAGGTGGTTATACTGAGGTGCATGGCAGCTTTGGTTTCGGGGAGTAGAACGGAGGGGGCACTTCGTTGTTGGACTTTGCCAAGGCATTCGATCTAGTGATTGCGAACTCAAGTTTTCCGAAGCGGGAGGAGCATTTGGTTACTTACCACAGTTCGGTGGCGAAGACTCAGATTGACTATCTCCTCCTCAGGAGATGCGACAGAAGGTGGTGCGAGGATTGTAAGGTTATCCCATGTGAGACCCTTGCAACACAACATAGGCTTTTGGTGATGGACATTGGTAGTATGATAAGGAGGAAGAAGAGGTCAGTACGAGGCCGCCCGAGGATTAGATGGGGTGCCTTGACTAAGGATAAAGCTCAGGAGTTGGAAGGAAGGCTATCGGCAATGGGAGCTTGGAGAAGTAGTGGGGACGCAAATACTATGTGGTCTACGACAGCGGACTGTATAAGGAAGGCGGCGAGAGAGGTGTTAGGGATATCTTCGGGCCGCACCGGTGGCCACAAAGGAGACTGGTGGTGGAATATAGTTGTCCAAGGTAAAGTGGAAGCAAAGAATACGGCTTACCTGCGGTTAGTAGGGAGTAATGGCGAAGAAGAGAAGAGAGCGAACAGTGAGAGGTATAAGGTAGCTAGGAAGGAGGCGAAGATGGCAGTAACAGAGGCTAAGACGGTAGCTTTTGCTCGTCTGTATGAGGAACTAGGGAACAAAGGTGGGGAGAAGAAGTTATTCCGACTTACTAAGGTGAGAGAGAGGACGGCTCGGGATCTGGACCAAGTGAGGTGCATAAAAGATGATGACGACATAGTTTTGATGGGGGATGACCAGATTAAGAGAAGATGGCAGACCTACTTTCATAAATTTCTAAATGAAGAAGGGGATCAAAATATTGTACTAGGTGAATTGAGGAATGCCGACAGTCCCCATGAATTAAGTTATTGTAGGGACATTGAGGTCGATGAGGTCATGGAAGCAATGCGTAAGATGAGAAGGGGCAGAGCTACCGGGCCAGACGAAATGCCGGTTGAACTTTGGAGGTGTGTGGGTAGAGCAGGCTTGGAATGGTTTATTGGGTTGTTTAATGTTATATTCAGGACTAATAGGATGCCTGAAGAGTGGAGGTGGAGTACAATAGTTCCGTTGTATAAGAACAAAGGCGATATCCAGAGCTGTAACAACTATAGGGGTATCAAATTACTAAGTCATACCATTAAAGCCTGGGAGAGAGTGGTAGAAATGAGAGTGCGAAGAACGGTGTCTATTTCACACAACCAGTTCGGGTTCATACCAGGGCGATCTACCACAGAAGCTATCCACCTTATTAGGAGGATGGTGGAACAGTACAAGGATAAGAATAAGGATCTCCATATGGTGTTTATTGATCTTGAGAAAGCGTACGACAGGGTTCCTAGGGAGGTCTTATGGAGCTGCTTAGAGGTTAAAGGGGTCCCGGTTGCCTACATTAGGGTGATAGAAGACATGTATGATGGAGCTAAGACTCGGGTTAGGACAGTAGGAGGCGACTTTGAGCATTTTTCGGTTGTTACAGGGCTGCACCAAGGGTCTACGTTCAGTCCTTTCCTATTTGCCCTGGTGATGGATGCACTAACTCATCATATTCAAGGGGAGGTACTATGGTGCATGCTATTTGCTGATGATATAGTTCTAATTGACGAGACACGAGGCGGAGTCAATGAGAGGTTAGAGGTTTGGAGACATGCCCTTGAGTCTAAAGGTTTCAGGTTAAGCAGGACGAAGATGGAATACCTCAAGTGCAAATTTGGGGCCGAGCCGACGGAAGCGGGAGTGAAAGTGAGGTTTGATTCTCAAGTCATTCCTAAGAAGGGTAATTTCAAGTACCTTGGGTCAATTATTCAGGGGATCGGGGAGATAGACGAGGATGTCACACACCGTATAGGGGTGGGGTGGGGTGGATGAAGTGGAGGTTAGCGTCGGAAGTCCTATGTGACAAGAAAGTGCCACCATTATTAAAAGAAAAGTTTTATAGAGCAGTGGTTAGGCCTGCCATGTTGTATGGGACCGAGTACTGGCAGGTTAAAAACTCACACATCCAGAAGATGAAAGTAGCTGAGATGAGGATGTTGAGGTGGATGTGCGGGCATATAAGGATGGATAAGATTAGGAATGAAGATATTCGAGAGAAGGTGGGTGTCGCCCCCATGGAGGACAAGATGCGGGAAGCAAGACTTAGATGGTTCGGGCACATTCAGAGGAGAAGCACTGACGCACTGGTGAGGAGGTGTGAGCGACTGGCTGTGGTGGGTACGAGGAGAGGTAGATGGAGACCTAAGAAGTATTGGGGAGAGGTGATCAGGCAGGACATGACGCGACTTAGGATTACTGAGGACATGGCCCTTGACAGGGAATTGTGGAGGTCAAGTATTAAGGTTGTAGGTTAGGGGAAGTTGTATATTTCTACAGCGCACTAGAGTGAGACTAGTCAATTAGGAGTTAGTCTTAGGATGCTACTGGACAGCTACTGATGCAGGGTTTTATCTGCTGGATATTATTATACCTTCTATCTTTTTCGTATTTCCTATATTTTTTATATTGCTGTTATTTTGTTATTTTATGTTATGTTATGTTATTTTATTATGAGTCTATTGATAATATTAATATATCGTCTCTTGTTGCTTTCTTGAGCCGATGGTCTCCTGGAAACAGTCTCTCTGCCCCTCAGGGTAAGGGTAAGGTCTGCGTACATATTACCCTCCCTAGACCCCACTTGTGGGATTATACTAGGTCGTTGTTGTTGTTGTGACTTTAGGGGTGAATGCTTTTATATTTATTGAATGGATTTTAATATATTTAACTTATATTAAAAGAATTAAGTACTTTTTAATTTTATTTTCATATTTTACTTAAATAAAATGAAAAGATTTAATTATTGTCTGTAATAACAAATTTTTGAGATTATTTATTTACTTATAATATTAACTATTAAGTAAATCTATTCATGTCCTTATTCGTAATTTGATACTTAAAAGCACTTTCTGAAAAGCTTGGTCAAACACAAATTATTGCTCAAAAATACTTTTCATAGTGATTAGTCAAACACAAACCGCTTCTCTCCAAAAGTATTTTTTTCAAAAGCACTTTTGAAAAAAACACTTCTCAAAATAAGCTGATTTTTGCAGCTTGGCCAAATAGGTTATTAAAAGTACTTAAAATAAGTCAATCCAAACGGGCTCTTATTCTACTAATTTGTGGAATGATTCAAATGATTTTATTTCTCCTTATTTGATAAACAAAATAAAGAGGAAGATTTTCTCTCAAAATTCTCCTCTATTTCTTTTATTAACCCTCTTGTTTTCATTGGAGGAATTCATGTTCAGATGTTATAGGAAATCCTTCTTCAATGGTGTTATTATATTTTGATGCTTTGAATTTTGTAGTGTTAAAAAAACTTATTGCTGATTTTGTCTTGCGCAAATAAACAATGTTACAAAAAATTTATTAATTTATTTTCTGTTTCTCAACGTTTTCAGTTTTGTTTAAGAAAAAATAAGGAAGTGGATTATGCGATTAAATAGTTAAACCAAACACAAATAACTGGAAGGAAAGTATATTTCATGGGATTATGCAATAAACCAAAATAGGTGTCACCTTATTATCGTTATGTTCATTCATAGTTACGATGCAGTAACATTGCAACTTCAATGCACAATGAAAGAATTATATGTCAATCATTGCCTTGTCATCAAACAAGTTAAAACGTATGATGACAATTGCATGTCTTTCAACAAGAGATTTTGAGCCTTTTGGACATAAGAATTTTTTTATTTTTTCAAAAAAAAAAGTTACTTTTATCAAAATTATTGTTTGGTCATAAAATTTTCAATTTTTTCACTTAAAAATAAATTTTGAAATTTT